AAATATATTTTTTAAAAAAGGTAATTCTTATACTAAATTAATGAGGTCCATAAAGGTGTACAAGACAGAATGATAAATACCCTAGCATTCACTAAGGTTTAACATTAGGCCTTTTTAAAGAAAAAAAAACAACAACAACAAACCCATCCTACTATCAGATGCTTTCTTTTCCATCATCTCTGAAAGATAGGACTGGAGTTTGATTTTCACTTTTTCCTTTATCATAAAATTACTGATATAGTTAACGTTTATAATCAAGTTCTTTACCTAAGTGAACTGAACTGCATCCAGGCTACTATTAAAAAAAGAAAAAGAAAAGGAACTGGAAAGGAGAGAATTTCAAAACCTTAATTAATGTATATAGGAAAAAACAAGAACTTTCCGTTAGATTTTCAATGGCACTGCATAACAAAGAGTAAGAAGTCAAGCCATCGAAAAAGAAGAGCCCATTAAACACCCCGTTATTTTTGTTGTTATCCTCAAAAAGAGCTGTTACAAAGACTGGAAAGGAAATGATAGTCAAACTAGGTGTTCAAAGCATATTAAGATATGTCGTCCTGCATTTTTCCTAAGCCTCTAACCTCAGTATAGTCAGGCCACTAAGACTCCGTTTGGCACAAATATTCTTTCCATAGAATCATCAGGCCTTCAGAGGCTTTGTTTCCTCAGGCAGATTCAGCATCCCTCAGATGTTTTGTGTAAGGCCAACTTGGCCCTGTCTGTGAAAAGCAGAAGAGGCCATATACCACACAGATCTGTTTTGCTAACAAAGATCTAGAGAACAGTGTCAGTTCAAACCCCTCACTGCATAGGAGGTTTGGATCAAAGAGGAAATGCTGACATCCAAATAAAACATTGATTTTTCTAGCTTTGGCTACTTTTCTTTCAGGTAATTGCTTCTCACTCCATGATGTTTTGGTCTGAACTAAAGATCTCTAGTCTATGTCATAAGTCTCTCTAGTATAAATGATCAATTTGGTGTTTTGAGTGACTGCAAACCCAAGCTTTTGTTTTGAATGTAGATTATGGCATACAGCTTGTGCCAGTGATGAAGGAGAAGTAATTGTTTTTGGTGGGTGTGCCAATAACCTTCTTGTCCATCACAGAGCGGTAAGTATACTATCTTATGTTAAAGGAGACTTCATAATATTGCTGAAACTTATTTGTGAAGTATTTGCTTTTTAATGTGTTCTTCTTATCTATTTTTCAGGCACACAGTAATGAAGTACTCATATTTTCAGTTCAACCAAAATCTCTTGTAAGGTAAGTAGCTTTTTATTTGGAACTTTAGAGTATTTAAAATAGTGCTCTTGAAAAACTAGGTTTATGGATAATTTAAAAGGGTACTAACAAGTTTTTATGGATCCAACTAACCAGTTCCTATGAAAATCTTTAAAGAAAATGGTTTCTTTCTTTTTAATAGCTTATCAAGTGAGGGTACTTCTAAGCAGCAAAGTGAAATTATTTTTCTCTTCCCTTATTCTTTCAGGCTAAGCTTAGAAGCAGTCATTTGCTTTAAAGAAATGTTAGCCAACTCATGGAACTGCCTTCCAAAACACTTACTTCACAGTGTTCATCAGAGGTTTGGTAGTAACAACACTTCTGGCTCTTAGGTTTCATAGATCGTGCCTCTGATCACCTTGCATGGACAGCAATTCTGTGAACATCAGAGTGGCATCATTTGTATAGTTACATGCATTGTGTAGCTTTGCAGCTTTTTGGTTTTAATGTGCATGTGAATGGCCTAGAGAACCTATTTTTGTGTCCAAAGTTTACAATAAATGTATTTAACACCAGTAAAATTGTCTTCTGTTAAAACAAAGGAAAATTAATACTTGGGCTTTACCCCAAGGAATGGCTGTTATATTTCCTTTTTGATAACTTCAAGATAACTATCGGTAGAAACATACTTATTCTTACCACCTAGAATAGTGAAGTTGTTTTTCCCGCTCTTATTGCGAGTATACTGGGTTGACACTGGTTAACATTATACAGGTTTCAGGTGCACAATTC